TGGGGACGCTCAAACTACCTCCGATAGACCTCTCTCTGAGTGATGGGGAGAAACTTCTCCAGAAATAGCTGCGTGAACTATCCTCAAGTCAAAGTTGGTGATCATGCTGGTCTAGCAATAATCCCTCTACCAAGTCTTGGCGAATCCAGACAAGCGAAATGTAGCAAAATCAACCCCATTGGTCTCAACAATCCCCATGTTCCGAGGAACCTCGTGACAACTGTCCAGATAATCTTGGGGATCCTCAGTAGATGCACCGCTAAATGTAGTAGTGAAGAGCTTGGTGAAACTTATCCAACCTCCACAAAACCTCTGAAGACGTAGCTGATCTATCACTGGTCTGTGCTGCTACTCAGCTGAAGAAGCGGTACATAACCTCGCCATTCGCGAAGGGACAAAAGTAGAGGTTTCAATTTAGCATTTGAGAAACAAAACCGCACGACAGGGAAAGAACAAGTGTGAAGTTTTCCTAACTCCGTAACCTCTAGGGGAAAAATACAGACGTCTCCGTACCGATCCCTCAGACTCTACTGAGCTTGTCCGTGAATTGTGAGACCTGTGTAACCTAGAGCTTTGATACCAACTTGTCACGACCCGGATTTCCCACCCTCGGGGGTCGTGATGGCGCCTACTCGTAGAAGCTAGGCAAGCCACACTCTTAGAATCCATAAGTACTTTTGTATTAGATCCATTTTTACCAATTAAATTGGCAGGAAATAAATAATTAAACAACAGCGGAATTCGTAATTTAGCGGAAGACTTAAACAAAATAAACCAGGATAATAAGGAAGATCCACATATGCCTCTACCCAGAACTAGTGTCACAACATTCACGGACTACTAAGATTTACTACAAACAACCGTTTGAAAGAGAGTAACATTTTCTGTCTCGAATACAAGAGATAACAGAACATAAATAAAGATAGAGGAGACACCGGGCCTGCGGACGCCTGCAAGGCTACCTCGGTGTCTCGGAGGAATGAAGGCTGGTTCCCGAGCCACTACTGTTGTTCGGTACCTGGATCTGTGCAAAAGAGCACAGAGTGTAGTATCAGCACAACCGACCCCATGTGCTGGTAAGTGCCTAGCCTAACCTCGGCGAAGTAGTGACGAGGCTAGACATGACTACCACATCAACCTGTACAGTTATATATGTATATATCTACAACGGAAAAATAACAAGATCAAACATTTTAAATGGGAGGAGAACATGCTTCGGGGATAGCAGATAATACCGAATTTCAAGAAAATAATAAAGAACATCAATAATTTAACTCTAACACGGATAAAGGAAATAAAAGCAGATTTTACTATCAGCACATATCTCGTTGCAGGCGTGCAACCCGATCCTATTTTTTAATAATTAAATCTCATGGTAGGCGTACCACCCGCTCCCATTTCATTAAATCTCGTAGTAGGCGTACCGCCAGATCCCATTTTATTAAGTCAACAGTTCTTCCAAATGAAATTTACTCCAACAAACGCAACAATTAATACGAATTCATCAGACAACAAGTACACAATAATTATGACTCACTGAGGAAAACAAGTAATGACAAGTAGCAATTAATTATGGACTTTAAGGAGCAAATAGGCAATTTAATATTTAGTATGCTAAATGTCAAGAAGCAATTAAGTCACATAAACATGTAGCAATTATAGCATAAATTCAAGGCATAATGTTGCGCAAGGATACCTCGAGCCAATAATAACAAGTAACACAATAAAGGAAAAAGCCAACACAAAGAATCACAGTAATAGTGGGATAAGACAATTAATGCACTTGAACCGATAACAACAAGAAAATCGGTAAATAGCAGTAAAGGGCAACACAACTCAATTATCAGCAAAAAAATCAGGAAAATCAAAGACAAGTGCACGGCATCACCCTTCGTGCTTTTACTCTCGTCCTCACCAAGCAATAATATAATGAAAACGTGCACGACATCACCCTTCGTGCTTTTATTCTCTTTCCTCACCAAAGCAACTAGAATAATAAAATGTGCACGGCATCACCCTTCGTGCTTTTACTCTCTTGCCTCACATATAATCAATAGAATTGGCACGGAATGGTACATCGTGCGGCACGACATCACCCTTCGTGCTTTACACTTTTTCCTTACAATAGCAAACAATGCACGGCATCACCCTTCGTGCTTTACACTCTTCCTCACCCAAACAAAAATCACAAACAATGGGCAAGGGAATAAACAAAATAATAATAGAAATCCCGGCAAGGGAACACAATTAAACAATTAAATCCTGGCAAGGGTACAACATCAATAATCTCAACGTCCCGTCAAGGGAAAATAATCAATAAGCAACAATATCCCGGCAAGGGAACAATTTAAATACTCTTTCTCTTTCTTTCACTTTTATTTCATATCTCACTTTACCACTTGAGCCAATGCTCCAAAGGGTTTAATCATTTCATATACTTTCACATTTTGAATATAACTGGAGCCAATGCTCCTCGATGCTCATAGGTCACAATTTCCTTTCACAAGCTTTTCACAACAAATAGGAATCATCACCAAGGTAAGAGGAATACAACAAATCAAGATATTTACAATTTAAAGACTCACGGTCATGCTAGACACCAACGTATAGATACTCGTCACCATGCCTATACGTCGTACTCGACAAGAAGCAATTAGCAAATAAGACTCAACTCCTAGTCCCTCAAGCTAGGGTTAGACCAAACACTTACCTCAACTTCCACGGCCAAAACAATCCACAACAACCGCTTTCCCTCTCGAATTCGGCTCCAACTCAATCAAATCTATACAATAATGACTTCAATACATCAATAAATGCTAAACAATACGAACTCAATGCCGAATTATAGCTTTTCCATCATTTTTCCCAAAAACTCAAAAATCGACCCCGGGCGCGCTTGGTCAAAATACGAGGTTCGGACCAAAATCAAATCCCCCATTCACCCACGATCCCGAATATATAATTTATTTTCAAATTCGACCCCAAAACGAGGTCTAAATGAAGAAAATTCAAAAAGCCCTAACTCTACCCATTTTCTCCAATTTCTACCCTAAATTACATGTTTTAGGCTTAGGAATTCAATAGATGTTGATGGAAAGTGAAGAAAACGAGTTAAAAATTACTAACCCAAGAGTTAATGGTGAAAGGATGCTTCAATGGTCGCCCTAGAACTTTGGAGAAGAAAGAGTTTGAGAAGTGTTATGAAAATCCCGTTTGCATTCTTTTTTGAAGAATTAAAATAACTGGGCGAATTTGTTCATCGCGATCGCAGGAAGGAGATTGCGATCGCATAGGGTAAGGCCTGTTGCGCACTGCGATCGCGTACATAAGGTTGCGATCGCATAGAGTAGAGTTTCTGAGCACTGCGATCGCGGACAATAACACGCGATCGCATATAAGGAAAATAATGAAAGCTGGCTTTATACATCGCGATCGCGGAGAGGAGAATGCGATCGCATTGAAGGAATGGGGCTAAGCTACGCGATCGCGGATGCTCCTATGCGATCGCATAGAACAACTTACCAGAACACCAGAACTGAACTTTCTGCAATTTTTCCTAAGTTTAAACAATCCCGAAACACCTCCGAAACACTCCCGAGCCCTCGGGGCTCCTAACCAAACACATACACTAACTCAACAACATCCTACGAACTTAACCGTGCGATCAAATCGCCAAAATAACATAAAAACAATGAATCAAACCTCAAAATCACTAGTTTTTCTCCAAACTTCATAAACTTTCAAATTTAGAGTTTTAAGTCCGATACACGTCAAACGACGTCCGATTTCAATCAAACTTCACAGAAATGTCTTAAACCACATATAAGACGTGTACCGGGCGCCGGAACCAAAATACGGGCCCGATACCAACACGTTCTAACCAATTTTCATTTCAATTTTCCTTAGTAATTTCAGAAAAACAATTTTTACTCAAAATTTTATTTCTCGGGCTTGGGACCTCGGAATTCGATTCCGGGCATACGCCCAGGTCCCATATTTTCCTATGGACCCTCCGGGACCGTCAAATTACGGGTCCGGGTCCGTTTATCCAAAATATTGACCAAAGTCAAATTTACTCATTTTAATATCAAATTTTAGCATTTAACACAGAATTTCATATTTAAGCTTTCCGGCTACGCGTTCGGACTGCGCACGCAAATCGAGGCAACTACAAATGAGGTTTTCAAGGCCTCGGAAGCACGGAATGAGTAAGAAAATAGGTGATGACCCTTTGGATCGTCACAACTGTTGATTGATAATTGAGAACTTCTATGAAGTAGTCTCTTTCTTCACTGAGTTAGTTATATACGATCAACATTTATAATCATCTTTAGTAACTTAGTTTTTTTTTTTATAATTAGATATAATTATTAAATAAATCATATTCATTGAGATAAGATACACGCGCATCGCGCGTACCTTGAGACTAGTATTAAAAAGACTCTGAGACTTCTTTTATAAAATTCATATAATATTGAGACAAAAAAAATCTACATGACTTTGACCTAGTGGCGAGAGCCAACTCATGACAAGCGCACATCATATGGTTAAGTTCTTCCTTTAAGTGAAAATAGTAAAGGGTGAGCCCATTATCCATCGTGTTTTGAACCTTGCGACATTTGTCTAGGGGATTTCTTAGTTTAAAAAGATGAAACACAAAATAACTTGTTTTTTGGTTGTGGATCAATCAAATGTGACAAAAATGAATAGTTAATTTAGAGAATTTGAGTTGAAATTAGAAAGTAAAATTGCGAGAACCATGAAAAAAAGATCATATATAAAAAAATAAAAATAAAATTAATGCGCACGTAAATATATTATTCAATTTAGTGAGAAAAATTTATCCAATTAACTCACTCAATCTTACGTCTATCAAATATTAAAACTTATTAAAATTTAAACTCTTTATTAGTATTAGTAATTATAATTAAATTATGAACTATTATATATTATAATAATATAATAATACTTCTCATTTTTTGGGGCCTTAAATATTTGGGGCCTAAGGCAAGACCGTAATAGCTTCAGTTGCCTTACCCTAGAGCCGCCTTTGCACCTTATCAATTGTCATTACCATGGCGGACGTAGAAGAAAACCCTAATATAGTAGTTGCAGAAGAAGAGTCAATTAAGAAGAAGAGAAAGAGAAAGAGAGACAAGAAGAATAAAATGGCCGTAGAAAAAGAGACGAAGAAGGAAGAAGAAAGCGAAGGCAAAGAAGAAGAAGAAGAGAATGAGGAGGAAGAGCAGCATAATGAACTGAAGGAGGAGATTAAGAAAGAGATGAAAAGTGGTTCCGGTATTATGACTACGGAGTTGTTTTCTTCTCTTGAAATTTCTGAGCCCACTATGAAGGCCATCAACGACATGGGCTTTCAGCACATGACTCAGGTAAATTATAAGCTTTTGTAGTATTTTCATAAGCAGATATTAGCAAAGTGAAATACTTGGCACTATGGTGAGATATTAATTTGGAAAATGGAGAATTTACTAGTAATAAATTGAATGATGTTTCGCCTATGTTGATTCAGTCTACTGAGTAATTCTCGTTCTATTGCTGTTCAGCTGCACCCTTTGTCAGTTGCTTGAAGTGCAAATTTTTAAAAAAAATCAGAACTTGAATAAATAAATCTGTAATATTTGTCCATGAGGACCATCACCGTTTGATTAATGTCTATTGTGGCAAACTGAATGGCTAACATTCGTTCTGGAATGAACATCTGGATCTTAATTGTTTCTCTTTGGTGTTGAAGATCCAAGCCAGGGCAATTGCTCCTCTTCTGGAAGGCAAAGATGTCCTTGGAGCTGCAAGAACTGGTTCTGGTAAAACGCTTGCATTTCTGATACCAGCCGTGGAGTTGTTGTATAATGTCCGTTTTACACCTCGTAATGGAACTGGGGTTATTGTCATTTGCCCAACAAGAGAACTGGCTATACAGGTAAAATACCCAGTCTTCCCTGCCTTTCATTTTTCTTTGTTTTTTCTTTTTGGTCTTTTGGCTTTTGCCTTTTTTAAATTGTTCTGGGAGGGGGATGTGCTAGTATGCCGTTCGTAATATGGTTGATCTCCTTTGCCTGCATGCTTCTTCTGTCCTAACTAAATGACCTTCTTCCTCTGTTCGATATGCCCTTAAACAAACTTGACTTCTTTTAAATGTAAATATTTGTTCCACATTTCAAACTAATATAAACTGATAGATACTGCTTTAGATTATTTTCGAACTCGACTTTGACATATTAATAGCTAGGAATTACTATTTTCACCTCTCAAAACATTTTATAACCAAAGTTGAACATAATAATCCATTCAAACGTTTTACTCTTCATACTGTTGAGGCAAATAGATCTAGTTTATGGGGAGAATGAAGTAGCTTGTTTCTAGTCTTATCAGTTAAAGATAATTAAGGTTTCCATTTCTGCTTTCGTTGAAAATCTGGGAATAAAGGTGTATGATTGAGTTGATTGCAGCTTACATAGAGGAAAATGGAATAGCCTTAAATTCTTAGCATAAACGAGTTATTCTTCAGCTCTATTGATCCTATAAGAGTTTTAAATTTCTTTTGCTGACATCCTGTGAGACTAATATAATCAGTGGGAAGTGGGGTAATGACAACACCATTTTGTCACAGTTCACCTTTGTCCAGTGTTAGATTGTTCATAGCATATAGGTACAATTTTTTTTACTGCATACAGAACTGTTGCACAAATCCTGATTCTTGAAGATCATACATTACTATCACAAGTTTTTGTTTGTTTGACTATATTGAATTTGTTCTTTATCGAAAACTATATTGAATTTGTTTAAGTAAACTATGAAAGTACTTCATGTTGCCCATTGTAGAGTTTGTGTTTCAAGGCTAACTTACTGTTTTAATGACTCAGACGCATTCTGTGGCAAAGGACCTTCTCAAGTATCATTCGCAGACTCTCGCCTTGGTTATTGGTGGTTCAGCAAGAAGAGCAGAGGCAGAGCGTATTGCAAAGGGGGCTAATCTCTTAGTAGCCACCCCTGGTCGACTTCTTGATCATCTTAGAAATACCAAAGGCTTCATTTATAAGAACCTAAAGGTACTTGTATCTTTCAACCGGCTAGTTATTTATTTCTGATTTCACTTCTTAGTATGATATCAATTGGTGTTCTCAATTTCGACCTATGATATTTATTAGAATTTACCTTACAATTTATTCATATCTTTTACTTGACTCAATCTTTTTCAAGCATGGATCCAGGGTCGATGTGGTTTCTGAAATTAGTGCCTAAACTTGCAGTGTCTCATGATAGACGAGGCTGATAGGATTTTGGAAGCGAACTTTGAGGAAGACATGCAGCAAATCATCAAACTTCTACCAAAGCAGGTATTGTTACCTATGTTATTAGTCTTTTGAACACTATAGCTTTGTTAAATAGTTATCCACGATGTTGGTCAATTTTTAGATAAAAATAGGTACAATTTCCTGTATTAGGCCTGCTTAATGATTTTAATTAGAACTAAGTAGAGTACAAACAGGCATTTGTTTGTCCTTGTAAGTTCTCAGTGATGACTTTTCTCTGCATTAAAATAAGGAAACTCATGGTTGATGTCAATGGTCTTAAATCCACGCGCATGCTTTATTTGCTATTGGAGTTAAGACAGTTTTTTTCCAACTCTTTAACTACCAATGTGTGCAAAACCAGACATGATTTGTTAAAAAGCTCATGTATAACCTTTTTCCTAACTTAATTTCTTGACATTATTACTCTGAAAATTGTGTTTGCAGTTTCTATATCTGGCAGTTCATTGCATGACGTTTCTCAGTTATTCTTCTTATCTTATTATCAACTGTTAATGTATTTGTTATTCTGAGTTAACTAATATGGTAGCTGCTCTACAGGGGAGGCAGACTGCTCTCTTTTCAGCCACACAAACAAAAAAGGTATTCTAAAGCCAAAGTTTTTCATAGTCCTCTTAGCTGAAAAGCAAGTAGTAAAAATTCCTACTTTCAAGTGCATGTTTCTTAAACTTTAAACATAATTTTGGAAATAGAAAAGAGAAATAAGAATCACCATTAAGAGTCTACTGAAAGTAATACTTGTCATGTCATATATGGTAAAAACTTTTTTCCTGAATGAAGCCCCTTAACTTGTGAGTATATACGGCTTCTTCTTCTTTTTTTTTTTTTTTTGCGAATAATAAATTTATGATGATTTGAGAAAGTGAAAAAGATCAACAGCAATATATAAAGCTCACTGAGGGACTCAATCATTCATTGTTTTCAGGTTGAGGACCTTGCTCGCTTATCTTTGGACAAACCTGTCTACATTGATGTGGATGATGGGAGGAGGAGGGTATATACACACTCATATTTTTTCCTACTAATTATTTGTTTAATGTNGCAATTCAGGTTACAAACGAAGGGCTGCAACAAGGATACTGTGTTGTCCCAAGCGCTAAGAGATTTCTTCTCCTTTATTCATTCTTGAAGAGGAACCTGTCAAAGAAAATAATGGTTTTCTTCTCATCTTGCAACTCTGTCAAGTTTCATTCCGAGCTACTTCGCTATATCAAGATTGAATGCCATGATATTCATGGGAAGCAGAAGCAGCAAAAACGAACTTCTACCTTTTTTGAATTCTGTGAAGCAAAAACAGGCATCCTGTTATGCACGGATGTCGCCGCACGTGGTCTTGATATTCCTGCTGTGGTATGTTGCTTCACCTCCTTGCACCTGTTACCAGTACAGTCCTTGGTCTATTGGCTGGAATCTGTATATGAAATCGGGGGATAGTGAATCTGTTTCTCCTTTTCTTTTCTGAGGTTTTCCAGTGTTGGGGATTTTTTTTTTGGGGGTGGGGGGGGG